TCATGCTGCAGTTGGCTGCTGTGCAGCAATATACACTTACTTCTCTTGCTCTACTTAAATGCTGGTCAGTACTCGAATTATTCCTGGGTTCAGTACTACACTGAAACAACTCTCTGACACTAGGTGGGAAGCATATGCAAAAACTACTTATGGTTGCAAGTTATATTCCAGTTATAAATGCTTTTATTTGTATCCACACTAATGACAGTGAAGATAATTTAAGAAGTGAAATGTGGATTCTCCTGGAGAAAATGGAAGGATGAGAGTTTGTTTTCTGGTTAGAACTTTAGAACTATATGTTAGTTCAATTCCACAAAACCAGCAAGACCCTACAGGATGTGCAAAGCTCTAGTACTTTAGATAAAATTGAACTCAAAGCAAAAGGAAACTTGCTTGATGGTGAATAAAAGAAAGAGTGAAAACCAGGCAAATTAATTATGGTGATACATCTAATGCTGATGAAAGGCTTTCCCCAAAAGCCGTATTTCACATAAAACCCTTTTATTCCAATAATGGAAGCCCCTGAAGGGAACAGCAATCATATAAGATAATGTTGTAAAAATATTTATATTTTTGGTTGATTTAAAAGCCTCACAAGAACAGTTGTGTAAAAGAGTAAACCTACTGATAAGACTTTCGATAATGTTGCTATTTGTGTATTTACAAAATTTATATAACACTTCTCATTTAAACAGATCCATGGTGATGAACAAGAGAAAGAGTTATAGAAGAAAATAGTCTATTTACACAGTCTATTTAAAACAGATTATCAGTAAAATAATCATTGACTGGTGAACCAAGGAAGGTTTCCTGATAAAACCTTCAAAAGGTGCCAGAAACAACACAGTAATGGTGTTGGGAGGAAGGCAGTTGCAGAGGAATGGGACCACCACACTGGATACTGGGCTGCATTGAGGCCATAGGTCCATGTGGAATCACCAGGTCATCTGATGGCCTGCATGATTGAGTAGTTTGATAAAAGACAAGGAGCTCTCTGAGCAACCTTGTCCCAAGCTGTTGAGAGCTTCATAAGCTAGTGTCAAAATCTTAAATCATAAATGTGGCTCAAGAGCAGTGTGGTTTCTTCAGCGAAATAATTGCATGCTGAAAGGGGAAGCTGCATTCTACAGGCACTCCAGCTTTCTAACCAGCCTTATGGGAAGCATGACAATTATCCAGTCTAATACCTGTACCAGTGTAGTCAAGTTATCCCTGCCTATGAGGGACCACAGCTTGTGAACCAGTCAAAGCCATTAAAAGGCACTCTGTGTTGCCAGAGTCACGTGGGACAATGGATGCAGGAGCACCCCCAGACTCCAAACCTGCACTTTAAAGACCTCATCCAGAATGGGCAATGAGTCCATCTTGATTCAAGAACTACCCGCTCACAGGGTGATTCAGTTTCCATTTACTGACCCTCATCAAGCCCAACCTTCAGTCTAGGCACTGATCCAGGACTGCACAGTCTCACTTCATTTGGATGGCAGAAGCACACAGCATACAGATGGCACTTGGCTCCAAATCGCCTGATGACCACTGCTAGCAGCTTCACCTAAATGTTGAGCAACACTGAGGAAAAGGTGGTACCCTGTGGAATCCCACAGTTCAATCGCCAAGAGGGCCAAGGAATATGTACGCAGTGCCGCTCTCTGAAACTGGCCAAGCAGGTTAGACAGAAACCAGAATAACAAAGTGCCTCCAATGTCCAGCCCACAGAGTCAATCCAGGAAAACACCACAGTCAGTGGAATGAAAAAACCAAAAACTGGTAAGAGACTAAACAGTTGCATTCCTTCATCCTTCTCCCAGTAAAGGTCATCCACCAGGGAGACCAACAACAGTTCAGTCTGGTAAGGTGGTTAAAACCCAGACTAGAATGGATCTTTAGAGTCAGTATCCTCCAAAAGTGCTTGCAGTTGCTTTGTTACTATCCCCACTAGTATTATCCCAAAGAAAGGGATATTTGCGCTTGGACTGTTGTTGTCAAACACCACTGGGGCTTGAGTGGGGCTCTGAAGGAGAATAAGAACCACCCCTTCACACAAAGATGCATTCACCACTCCCTGGGCCAACCTGGTCATAACCCCTTGGCTAGGTTTTACTGGCCAAGACAGGCAAGGCTCGAGAGGGCATGTGGTTGGTCACATTGCTACAAGTCATTAGCTGCAAGAACTGTAACTGGTGGCATTGGCGACCACAACTAGAGCTGCAGTAGCAAGGCATTCAAGTTTGTTGCAGAGACAAGTACCATGCAAAAAGATAGGTCCTGGAGGGGACCATGGCCCCATTCATTGAGGAGAATGTTAACAGCCTAAAAACCACCTGAAAGAGGTCTGCTGGAGTCAAGGACACAAAGGAGTAGAAAAGTAAGCCTTATCTGCTGCCTAGAACACTGTCCAACAGTGGGCTCTGGAGAGTGCTCAGTAATCTTCATTTTTAGTTGACTCCACTTGCAGGTTAGCATTGTCCAGCCTATTTCATTGACTACAGCTGCCCAACATAACAAAGGGTAGAGCAGGCTCTATAGCACTGGGGAGGGCACCCAGGATCAAGCTGATGGTCCTCCCATCTTCCTGATCAGGAGTGAGATCAGGGCATTGATACAATCACCAGCTCTCTCCACTGCAAGAGCCTAAATAACATTCAGAAAATGGAATCCACCAGACTCCTGGGGCAAATAGCAAGGTCATCCACCCAAGTCTTGGTAATACTTGCCACATTCAGTCTCCTCATCCATAATTAAATTGTGAATGAGTGTGACCTTGTTGTGCACCAACCAGGCATTAAACAGCAGGATTGCAAGACAGAAGGATTTGAAGGATGAGTTACTAGGTAATTGAGAACCAGAGGAGGGGAATAGAAGGGACAGCATATAACTGGGTTCTATTTTGCTTGAATATGCCAGCCCATTCCTCCTGTCTTATCACATGCTGCCCCAGGTCAATCCGACAGCAGTATCACCTCCATGGGTCCCTGTGGGAGCACAACAATACCATTCCAAAAGTTCCTACACACTCTGAACACCTATGCCCAGCTCCAACATACTGTTAACCACTCAGAACCTCAAACTCTCCATTCATCCAACCGATCACACACAACCAGCCCAGCACAGTATCAAACCTGCTGGGGGAATCACATACTTTCAGTCTTAAAGAAAGCAAAATTATTCAGATAAAGAAAACTTATGCCACCAGATTCTGTATCAGTTCATCCTCTAAGATAAGATTCAGCTGGCTTTCCCTCATGTAGAACTAATATTGTGGCTATTTTTAAGTCGAATGGTAGCAAACTGCTCAGGAGAAAGGTCATCTTCACAGCTGTAAAGGATTAAGAACGAACAGTGGACATCAGTGCTGTAAGAAAAGCTGTCTGCACTAATCATTATGTACACAGAAAATGATAAGCTTCGTAACTTATCATCTGCTGACACAATGTATGAATTTGTTCTTTTAAAATCACAAAGGATTTTTTATGATGTGCAAAGAGAAGCAACTGTGTAAGTTACTTTGCTCTTCCATGTACTAAGTGCTTATCTGGGTAACATTGCTGCATTCCTTCACATCATATATCAGCAGTGCTTCATCATGTCTTAATCTGGTACTGGATGTCAGGCCCAAATGACAGCTCTTGATAAGAACTGTAGATTTAACTCCTCCCAGCAATTTCAGAACCTGTGGCACTCATAACCAAAGCAAAACAAAGCAACAAAGTCAGTAAATCAAAACAGATGGATTTATATTGGTAAGCTATTCCTTGGAAAGGAGAATTAAGCCTTATTCCTAATTTGCATAGATACCCTCTACACACTGACCTGATACCACAATATACTAATTGTGGCAGAGCAGTATAGCTGTACAGCAACTTATTGCCCTCCAAATGTTTTGGGCTACAGCTGCCATGACACCCCAGTACTGGGTATATGACTAGTGTTGAAGGAAGCTACAGGCAAAAACATAAAAAGGGCCACAAATTGTCCACATCTGCAACAGAATATGAGAAAAGCCAGGTTTAAATTCCTATTTTGTCATAAAGAACATGAGATTGCCTTGAGCTATTCTCTCATCCTAACCTAACTCTTATGGAAAGGGGGGATTGATGATAATTACCAGACAATCCAAACACATCTTCTTGACAGAGAAGGGAGATACAAAGGGATAAACCAATAGTAGTTAAATTTTGTGGCACAGAAAAATTCCAAGTATTCCAAGTCTTTAGTCCCCCAATGACACAATATATTTAAATACAGGTGTTTGCTTAGAGTTGGGATAATTAAGAGTAAGTAACTTAAGTGTGGATCCTTATGAAGCCAAGTACTCTGTGCTAACCAAATCCTACTTGTATATTTCATCATGGGAGTTCACCTAGAGTCCAAGTAGAAAAACATTAGGCAGTCAGCATTTGGGCTGAGACAATCAGAATGACGATGGGCATATGTAAAGATCAATCTGTATTTATAATCCATAAATAAAGCTTTTATGGATGCTTGAATAAAACATTCATCCATCTTTCTAAAGAGGCAAAACTACTTATTTAGTCTTGCTTTTTTATCAATAGCCTGCTTTTGATATTATCTGGTAGAGCTTTAGGAGTACTGCTGCTTGGCCTTCTTTTTCAGTGCTGCTTTACCGTTGATATAAGCACTGGGTACATTCAGTGGCCTCTGAGTACCAAGTCCCAGTTGCAAAAGAAAAAGAGAAAGTGGGATGGAGTCAACAGCACTGGCTTCTTGAGTCTGCAACAGCTTATAGTGTTCTGCAGGCTGGCACACTAAACAGGAATACTCCTATAAGCAGGAGACATACATTGCAATGTTATGTTGCAGGCCTCACTTTATTTTTTATTTACTTAACATACCCGTACACCACCTTTCAAGGCAAAGCCCTCCCAGAGCAGCTTATAGAATATAACTAAAGCCATGGAACAATTTTAATATAACACGGAACAATGCAGTTAAAACGCAATTCACAGACTTTTAATAGAACACACTTGTTGTTTACTGACCATTTATTTCCAAGCCTGTTGCGCATGGCAGTTATTCTCCCTCATCTGGAGCCCCTCCAAGCATGAATCACTGTTTCTTTCTTTGCTTCCCCGGACTGATTCCAGCCAATTTTGCCATCAGCTGCACACTCCAGCGCCAACTTGACACAAACCTGTAAACAGGTATGAACAGAGGGAACAGACTGGTCAACTTCATGTTGCTTTCAAAAAGTACTCACACAGAAAGGGGATTTTTGCCACATTTCAGTTCTGAGGGGCAGGGGAGGGGAAACTTCATGGCACTCTCTCTCTCTGATAAAAAGTTCCCTGCTTCTCACACACTCAGTCTGCACATATCACAAACTCATGATTTATATAATATGATTTCTTGCACTACCCAAGGTTTGTTGCTAGATAAAGAAACCTTGGGTAGTTTTCTCATTCCCTAGGTAGTTTATTTCTTTTGCTCAGTCCCTCCCTGTATCCAAATGCCTCACGGTACTGTAGCAGTGGCACGCAGAATGACTACGGTATGTAGGGGCGGATTTATTTAACCATCCTTGCCTGACATCCTCTATAACCTAGCAAATAACTCATGAGCAACCCACAGTTCTAGGTTCAGATTAATGATAATCTGCTTTAAACGATGCAGGGTCCACCACCCAAGAATAAACCATGGATTGGCTTGCACAATTGTGCTGAGGATTAGGGCGGATTATTTCTCCACTGTATGTGCCAGGTGAATTTACCTAATTCCCCTTGCTGGCACAGCTTGTCAGGTTGCCCAAATGTGGGCGGCATGGCTTGTTTGCATTGGGGTGGGGGGTGGGGGAAGCAGCAATTCTCAAATAATCCCGAAACAGCCCAGATTTAGACAACATGATTAGCTAAACCAGCAAGGAAAATAAGGCAAATCCATCCAACAAACACAGAAGGAGAATCAGTTACTAAAGCTTATTTCCCTCAGTATAACTGGGTGAACCAGGTTCATGGATTCTCCTTCTGTTTTCTGATTAACAAATCATCATCTGTTAGTGTGGATAGATTCAAATTATCACAACAACCCAGAATTCAATGTCACATCATGGGTCGGCATTACATGTAAACCCAGTCAGTCATGTTCAAATGGTGAAAACAGATACACACACACACACTAATAGAAGAGACAAGATTTTATTTAGATCAGCTGTCTCCAATCTGTGTCCCTGCAGATGTGTTAATTTCAATTCCCATCAACCCCAGTCAGCATGGCCAATAGTCAGGAATGCTAGGAGTTGTAGTCAAAAACATCTGGCTGGTACAAGGTTGTGGAAGGCTGATCTAAATTATTAGTATGATTTAAAATTGCTTAAAAATTCTGCTTGGAACTACAAATAGCAAAGAGATAAAACACACCACGTCAAGATACAATTCTATGCATGCATACTTGAATGAATAACTCCTTTGAACACCATGGGACTTGCTTCTGATAAATATTTGCAGGACCAGACTGTCATTCTGTCTTTAAAATAAATACAATGGTTGGCATCTAATGGTCCATGCAGGAGGCGTCTGCATATGCAGTGAAGCTTCTGAGATTATTTTACTACTAAAGGCTCCTCTGCTGCCAAAACTCCTGAAACTCAGGGGACTCTCCAGAGCAGCCTTTAAACACAACACAAGATGGTATAAGTGGAAGAGAAAATCAGAGACTACCCACTACACACAAGTACTTGTATGCACCCTCAGTTCTCTTTAAGCCTGGCATTCTACATCCCCCACCCTCACCCCAAAATATATATTTGACAATTTGAGAAAAATACAGTTTAAACCAAGTAAGATAGATGGACAAATCTGGCCATAAGATGCAAATAATTTTTTTTCTTTTTACAGTATATCATACTTACATAGCATGATTACAGAAAAGGTTGATTGCAAGAACTTACACTTCATTTCAATATTTAAAATGTGTCATTATTACACAGCATCTTGAAAAACATAAATGTAGCCATCTGTACAGAAGGCAGTTGAGAAGCCACGGGATGCTGTGGACCTTCTTCTCTGTGGGCAGAGATGGAGGTCTGTCACCTCCTGAGCTAAAATAGAAAGTTCTATTGCAGGCAAAGGGACATTCCAGGAACGTGCTGGGAAAGGCCTGAGATACGCCACCTCCGAAGTTTCCTTATTCTACCAACATGGCCACTGAATGGCCAAAAGAGTACATCAGCCAAGAAGTGGGCATAATCATTTCCATTCCATCTTCTCCCACACTGTAGGAGCCATTAGTTCTGGAAGTGTGCATTTCTCCCCTACTGAAACTCATACCACCGCTGGAAAGTCATTAAATTGTCTATGGAACGAAGATCAGAAAACAGATTTAACTGCTATATATATATATATATGCACAACACTGAGAAACCAGGAACATGTGGAAGTTTGGAATGTAATGTTTCAGAAAAATACCGAAGTGAAAACACCTAATGAGATGGGGAAATTACTACAGCTGAATTCAGTGGGGCCTATACCTGAGTAAACTGGACTGTGCCATCACTCAACTGAAAAGATGCCTCCAAATAATCAAGAAGTATTTCTCTGCAGTGGCGCCCCATCCATGGAATGCGCTCCCCAGAGAGGTCCGCCTGGTGCCATCGTTATTTGTTTTTTGGCGCCAGGCTAAGACATTTTTATTCAAACAATATTTTAACAACATTTAATATTTATAGCTTTTAATTGTGCAGCCAGGATGTTTCCGGGTTTTAACTGTATTTGTATTATATTTGTTTTTTTATGTGAGCCATCCCGAGGCAATATAGCAAGGGGACGGTATGCAAAAACTTTAAATAAATAAATAAATAAATAGGCATTATTTGTAATCAGCATCTAAAAGTCAAGTGTACTGGCAACACCTTTGAAGAGACATTTGCTTCTTCCTCCACACAGGGTAGAAGTCAGTTCACACTGCATGGAGAGAGGGAGCACAGTCACACGCACAGGCCTTGCTGTCCATCTGTTGGGGAGTAGAAGGCCTGACAAATGGAATCCCCTCTTTTCATAGGATTCCACATGAATACACACACAGAGCAAGGTGCTCTCTGGCAACAGAGGATCTGATATCTGGGTTGGGACCAGTAGGTTACAGCCCATGTTAAGCACATTGCATGACAGAGCTGCACTGTGAAGAGAACACCCAAATAAGTCACATGACTCATCTACAATTGCACTTGCTGTAACTTGCACTGTTTTCAGACAAAGAAAAGCAGCTTTTACCCTCAAACCACCTGTGTTTCTTCCTGTGCTCATCAGTTATGTGGAATTAGCACAAGGCCACATTTTAGATGAACACAAATGTTACATCTCCCTTTGTGGAAGAGAATATATTGATTGCAGCTAGAGTTGCACGTGTCCATTACTGGACTAGCGTAAGTTATACAATGATTACAAAACATATTGAGGTAGCTTTAATTATGGAAGCTTGCCAAATGTGAACAAGATCTTTTCAGGGTATCTAAACAGAGAAATTTCCTTTATTTCCAAATATTAACGAGAGTGCCAATCCTTAAATCACTAAGTAGCACAATCCTTGAGCAAGAGGAAGGTTCAGCAAGTTTAGAGCAACCCCAAGGTTTCCAACAGTATCAAAATGTATTTAAGAAAAATCCTAAGGAAGGTGGAAAATCTAAAAATAGTCCACTAAGGACAGTGCATGCTCAGTAGTCATGGAATATTGAGTCAATGGGAAAAGAAAACCTGGGGAAATGAAACAGAAGGTATGTCCAGCAGTGCATGAGTCTTTAAGTGATGATCAGCCACTAGCTGGATAGAAAAGGCTAAAAAATAAGTTAGCAAGAATAAAATATGGGCAGTTATTTTCTTCTTTCTCTTCTTCAATTAACCTTGCTTAATTTCTCACCTCTTCCAAAAGACTCCATCACAAGAGACCTGAGGAAGAAAGGCACACATATACAAATGGAAGACAGAATTACTTCATTGTCTTGATAGTCATTCCCTGACAAATGTGAGAGCTGCCCAGAGAAATCAACAAATTTTAATATAGCTCAGACTGGGCATGGTATGCACACTCCATGCTCCAAAAGGCAGAAACAAAGAGTACATCCTTTTCTAACTCATTCCTTAGTGTTAAATTAAGTAAAAATATGCCTTTCAATACATATTGCAAACCCAACACAGTTCACGGACTTCATACTGAAGGTTGGAAGACTCTATGACTGGGAGAGAGCAGTTTTTACAGGCCTGAGATACAGTTCACACAAAATACTAAAGTTCAAGCTCCTGGTAGTTTGGTAGACCTGCAGTGTTGTCTAGAGGTATTAGATCCCTTCTGAAACTTTGGGGTTGGGTTGAAGCTGAGAGTATAGGACAACAACCCTGCAATACATTTCACTCTTATAACCCCATTGTACTTGGTGGGGGAAGGGGAGCTGTGCTCAAAGAAATCAACTTTCATCAACCTTGCAAAATTGGTTTGAATTCCCAATCAAAAATACCCCACACCTCTCCGACTGCAGAAAAGGTCAACCTATTTCAATTAACCCCTCAGACCTCCTCCTATAAAAATCCAGCACTCATTCCACTTGCACGTCTAACTGTTCATAAGCTAAATAATTATGCTTTGTATATTAAAAATAAAACCCAAGTCCAAGCAGGGGCTCCTACATTTGATGCTAACATTGCTGTGGTTTTTTCAGCCCATCAACTCATCTCACATAGGCACAGCAGGGATGCATTGCAATGTTTTGTTTCAAGACCCACTTGCTTTCTCTAATACTTAATGTAATAGGGCTCTCATAAACTCAGGTTATGGTAGGCATGTTTTAGAAAGTTAGTCCCCATTAAGCTTCTGCTTATAGCATACTTGGATACTAGCTTTAATGTTATTTAACTTCAATATGTGATTATTCTGGGAATATAAAGTATTGTGGTACATTTTGCCAATTTAGTGATCAAAAGTTTAACTACTTTATATACCAAATTTTTTTTTCATGCATCTCTATTTTCCCAACTTTGAAAGAAAGCTGATCAAGACAAAAAAATAAAGATGACACAGGTTCCTGGAATATTAACCAAGATGCAATATTCATCAATTCTATAAAGGGGGGTGGGGGGAAGACGCAGGGAGAGAGGACAGTCTGTCCAGATGTTTTCACCTACAACTCTTATCAGTCCCAGACAGCTT